AAATTTTTTTGTAACCTTGGCCAGATCTGTGCCTTGCCACAATTCTGTCTCTGAGCTCTTCAGGCAGTTCCTTTGACCTCATGATTCTCATTTGCTGGGACCAATAGGAAAATGTTCACATCTTAATAAGTTCAGTATACTTTCAGCTAGAAAAGCCATTCTGGTATCAAAATGTTCAGGTTTTTCAGGACATTATGGCATGTATTCAAATTTTTTTTTTTACAACTTTCGTACTTTTTTAAATATTTAGCATTTATTCTGAAAGATTTGCCCCATTCAAATGAATGGGGGAAATTCTACTTCGCCATAATTTCTAAATGTTCAGCTCTTCAAGGACATTCGTGCTTCTATTCACAATTTTTCTAAACTTCATACTTTCGAAATATTTAACTTTATTTTGAAAATCTTGCCCCATTCAAATGAATGGGAAAATTGACCTCTACTGTTTACATTCTCAGTTTGCACATGCATAATTACACATTCACTGTTGACTACTGCACAAACAGCTCCCCATGTAGCATCTTCTTCTTCTTCTTTCGGCTGTTCCCGTTAGGAACTACAGGATTTGCTACAGCAAACCATCTGTTTCCACTTAACTCTATCCTCTGCATCCTCTGCTCTCACCCCAATTAACTTCATGTCCTCTTTTAGCACATCCATATACAGTTGGTACGGAAAGTATTCAGACCCCCTTAAATTTTTCACTCTTTGTTATATTGCAGCCATATGCCCTATATCATTTAAGTTCATTTTTTTCCTCATTAATGTACACACAGAACCCCATATTGACAGAAAAACACAGAATTTTTGACATTTTTGCAGATTTATTAAAAAAGAAAAACTAAAATATCACATGGTCCTAAAGTATTCAGACCCTTTGCTGTGACACTCATATATTTAACTTAGGTGCTGTCCATTTCTTCTGATCATCCCTGAGATGGTTCTACACCTTCATTTGAGTCCAACTGTGTTTGATTATACTGATTGGATGTGATTAGGAAAGCCACACACCTGTCTACATAAGACCCTACAGCTCACAGTGCATGTCAGAGCAAATGAGAATCATGAGGTCAAAGGAACTGCCTGAAGAGCTCAGAGACAGAATTGTGGCAAGGCACAGGTCTGGCCAAGGTTACAAAAAAATTTCTGCTGCACTTAAGATTCC